AGCTGCTTGGGATTGGTTCTGTGTAAGCACAAGTGTTCTGCTCACCACCACTAGTAAATATTTATTGAGCCTATTCTGTGCCAGGCGGTCTGCTAGGAGCCAGGGTACAGAGATGAGGAGCCCACTGTTCCTGCCCTCCAGAAGCTTACGGTCTAGTGGGAGCGAGGGACTCAGACACCCATGACTGTAATAATACGGTTAGTGTGCAAAGAACTGTGGAATTTGTTCTTCTTCAGGAAAGGTAAGGGGTTGGAGGGTCTGAGAGGCTCACAGAGAAGGCAGTAGTGAGGAAAGGTCATCCTTGTGGAGATGTATCTACTTGATCATAAGCAACACCAAGATGAATGGAGAAAAGATTGAAGTTGTCAAGAATTTCATTTCACTTGGATCCACAATCAACCCCCATGGGAACAGCAGTCGAGAAATCAAATGATGCATTGCACCAGAAAATCTGCTGCAAAAAGTCTCTTTAAAGTGTTGAAAAGCAAAGACGTCACCTTGAAGACTAAGGTGCGCCTGACCCCAGCCATGGTGTTTTCGATCGGCTCACATGCATGTGAAAGCTGGACGATGAATGAGGAAGACCGAAGAACTGACGCCTTTGAACTGTGGTGTTGGCGAAGAGTATTGAATACACCATGGACGGCCAAGAGAACGAACGAATCTGTCTTGGAAGAAGTACGACCAGAATGCTCCTTAGAAACAAGGATGGCGAGACTACATCTTACATACTTTGGACATGTTATCAGGAGGGATCAGTCCCTGGAGAAGGACATCATGCTTGGTAAAGTAGAGGGTCAGCGAAAAAGGGGAAGACCCTCAACGAGATGGAGTGACACAGTGGCTGCAAAGATGGGCTCAAGCATAACGATTGTGAGGATGGCAGAGGACCAGGCAGTGTTTCGTTCTGTTGTACATGTGGTCGCTATGAGTCGGAACAGACTCGACGGCCCCTGACAACAACAACAATCTATTTGGGGAACAGTGTGGCTGGAACGCAGGAACATGGAAGGAGGGGCAGAGATGAATTGAGGGGCCAAGAGGGGTGTGAGGGGCCTGGTGTGCAGAAGGGATGTTGGAAATCAGTCCCCTAACCCATAATAAAAATTTTTATGTTTCATATTGTAGGGTTAAAAACTCTGAACAAAACAGACTTCCATTTTTGGAAATGCACGTGGGCCTCTCTTGTCAGAGTGTACTACTTGCTGTGACCCTCAAAATGTTTTCAAAATGCGTAGTTAAATCTTTTTCCAATGTATATTTACTTTGTTTACTGTTATTCCCCACCCCGCCCACTTTTCAAAATCTATCCCGTTGCTGTCGAGTCAATTCCAACTCATAGCAACCCTATAGGACAGAGCAGAACTGCCCGATAGGGTTGTAAATCTGTAGGAAGCAGACCACCACCTCTTTCTCCCTCTGAGCGGCTCGTGGGTCCAAACTGCCGAATTTTTGGTTAGCAGCTGAGCACTTAACCACTGCATTACCAGGGCTCCTTTTTCAAAATATATACTTGTAACCTATTCAAATATGTATCTCCTTGTAGTGCCAGGTCTCTCTCTCTCTCCCCCTGTAGATCCCAAAATGATTTCTGGAAAGGTGGGTGTCATGGATTGAGTTGTGTCCCCCCAAAATATCTGTCAGCTTGGCTGGGTCATGATTCCCAGTGTTGTATGATTGTGTAATCTGATGTGATTTCCTTATGCGTTGTAAACTCTATCACTATGATGAGATTATATGCGATCTCCTTATGTGTTGTAAATTCTATCACTGTGATGAGGTTATACTGATGAGGTTGACAAGATTAGATACTGTCTTAATGCAATCTCTTTTGAGATATAAAAGAGAGAAGCGAGCAGAGACACATGGGAACCTCATATCACCAAGAAAGCAGCGCCAGGAGCGGAGCATGTCCTTTGGACCTAAAGTTCCTGCGCACAGAAGCTCCCACACCAAGAGAAGATTGATGACGCAGACCTTCCTCCAGAGCCGACGGAGAAAGTGTTCCCCTGGAGCTGACGCCCTGAATTTGGACTTGTAGCCTACTGGACAGTGAGAATAAACTTCTCTTCGTTAAAGCCATCCACTTGTGGTATTCCTGTTAGCGCAGCACGAGATGACTAAGACAGTGGGTGTCGATCCTGGGGTTACATCATGTATCAAAATGAACCCATAAAACACTTTTAGGAACTGAGGTGAAGAAGTCACTGGCCATCGCTGGTGGTTACTCCCCTCATTTCTTCCTGTTTGCGGATTGTCAGCACATGGTAAAAGCCTGTTTCAGAACTTTGAGATTATGGTCTAATTTCCACAAGAGGTCCCCAAAGGTTCATACACTGGTGACTGACACCACTTGTGTGTGGGCAACATGGAGGCCGAGGGGATGGGGTGGCGTGGCTGGTATTTCGAGGAGCCGCTACATCACAGTTCACGTCTTCCTCTGCCCAAGCCATCTGCCTTTCACAGGTGTTGAACCTTAACGTCGCATCCAGAGTTTCATCTCGGCATCTGCCTGAGACACGGGGGCTGAAGGGTGGGGTCCAAGACGGCTGTTTCCAGGTGGGAAATCTGAGGAATAGCGATGCCAGGAACTGAGATAATGGGGCATAGTAGAGAAGGGGCAGGTTTGGGCAGTGGGGACATGGGTGTGGCTTTTGCCAGGTGGAGTCTGGGTGCCTAAGCGGCAGCTGGGCATTCAAGGCTTGTGCTGAGAAACAGGCAGGGCTGGACATGATAGCTGGCGGTCAGCAGGGTGTACAGCCAGGGAATTCCTGAAGCTGTTCCAGGGTGTGGGCTTACACAAGGAGAACCCCCAGAGAGTGGGGGGCACTGCCAACTGTTCATGACTGCATTGGGTGACACAGGGGCTGCAGGGGGCACAGGGAGTGGCCCTGCCCACAGAGCTCTGGTTGGCTGGGAAGTGAAAACACAGACAGGAAAACTCGCAGCCTCAAGGAAGCCTCAGATGCTAACAGTTGAAAACAACGTCAAGCCCTGCCTTTACGGCTTACCAAGGGCCTCCATCACTCACGATCCTGTCAAGCCTACGGTAGTCAGAGGAGACACTGTGGCCCAGTGGAAAGGTCGCTGGCTTTAGGGACGGTCAGACCTGTGTTGGATCCCAGTTCCACCCCTTACTGTGTGACCCTGAGCAAGCCTATTGACCTCTCCCAGTCTCCGTGACCTCACCTGTAAAGTCAGTATAATTAGGATAGTTGCCGGGATGAAATCTGAGAGACTATGGTCAACTTGATGTTCTGAAAACTGGTAAACGAACAGGAGGAAGCATTGATGCTGCTTTTCTTAAACTGTACCTCAGAGAGACCAAACAGTTGCTGAGAAGGGAGTTTTGTTTTTTTTACTCGGCGAATTTCAGCTAGTACACACAAAAGGCATGACCAACATTAGACTGAGATGGCGTGTCTGCACAATGACCAGCAGCAGCAGCCACGCCATCAGGGGAACCTTCTAGTGACTGGGGTGAGGCTGACCAGGCCCAGACCCACAGACCCACCTGAACACAGAGACAACCAGACATACATGCCTCCCGAGGTAATGCCTGGGAAGTGCATGACTCCACCTGTGAAGTGTACCTACCAAAAAGACAAGCCTCTAGGTTTAACTACCAGTTTATAGGAACTACTGGGGACAGAGAAACATGTTAAATGACACCGTGAGGCTGCCATCAGCCAAATCCAGCAAATGAGCCTGTTTCTTCAACAAATAAATGGCAAGGGAAAGAAAAAAGGAGGGAGGAGGAACTTAGAGTTTTAAAGAGATTTAAGAAACATTTCAGCCAAATATCAAGTGTGGGCTTTGTACGGAGCCTGACTGGAACAAGTCAGCTGTAAAAAGACATCTGTGGGACAATCAATGAGTAGGGACACTGACTGGGTATTAGGTGATATGAAGAAATTACTGGTAAATTTATAAAGTGTGATAGTGGTATTATAGCTATTTTATCTCTTAAAGGTACATATAGAAATATTTACGGGTGAAATAATAATAGAAATTGCCTTAAAATAATCCAGTCATGGGGGAATGTGTGGAAGAAGTGAGTGTAAGAGATGAAACAAGATTGGCCATGAGTTGATAATTTTTGAAGCTGGGTGATAGGGACTGTGATGGTTAAGATTGTGTGTCAACTTGGCTGGGCCATGATTCTCAGTGTTTTAATGTGATCACTCCCATGACTGAATATACTGTGAGTAGCCAATCAGATGAAAGGGAGTCTCCTTGGAGGTGTGGCTTATGTCTGACTATAAGCAGATGTTCTGGCTTTTTGCTCTCTCTGGATCCTGAGGCTGCCTCTTGTCATCTCATCTCCGGTTCTTGGGACTTGAGCTGTCAGTTTGTCTACCGAACCTGGGATTCATCGATCTGCGTAGCCTGTGAGCGGGAGCCCTGCTCTCCAACCTGCCGATCTTGGGCTTGCCAGCTTCTGCAGCTGCGTGACTTGGGAGAGGCCTCTACCCTGATCCACGGACTTGGGACGTTCCAGCCTCTACAACTGCGTGAGCTGTTTCCTTGATATAAATCTCTCTATATATATTTATACACTTTACGGGTTTTGCTTCTCTAGAGAACCCAGTCTAAGACAGGGACATAGTTCATTATACTATTTTTTCTACTCATTTGTGTTTAAAATTTTCCAATGAGGTAGAAAAAATAAGGTATGAAAAGTAGCTGGCGCATAGAAGCAGTTCAATAAATGACAACTGCTGTTATTTTACAATGGGCAAACTATGATTTAGGGAGATTAAATAACTTACCTAACCCCAAAACACCAAACCCACTGCCGCTGATTCCAACTCACAGCAACCCTACAGGACAGAGCGGAGCTGCCTAAGTGTGCAAGCAGCGGCTGGTGGAGCTGAACTGCTGACCCTTTGGTTAGCAGCCAAACGCTCAACCACGGTGCCACCAGGGCCCTGCTTACCTAAAGTCACACCAAATCCGCAGAGACTACAGTGTGCTTCTCAGGAAGTCCTGGCTGGGTGGCCCAGTCAGGAAGCTACAAAGATCCAAAAGCCACTCAATGAAATTGAATTTTTATTCCAAATGACTGTAGTGGCTAGAGAGACAAAAGCTAAAACCCAAACCAATGTGCTTAACTGGAAATTAAAAACAGCTGACTTGCAGGAGCGCAAACATGGGGTGATAGCCTTGGCACTCTGGTAACGGTTATGATCAAGAAAGCATAACAAATGTCCTTCTAATACACAATCTAGATATGCAGCATTTACAGCAAACTACATAAAAAGAAAGAGACAAGAAAAAGAAAACCCCCCACAAAATCCCAAGCCTCAGAAATTGCCAATCACACTTAAGAACACAGGGGTGAAGACTTTTGGTAGCAAAATTTCCACAATCCTAAAAATGAGAGTCCTTCAAAAAGACTTCTTCAAATTCAAAAGCTAGAAAAACTGAAGGGGGAACAGCTGCGCTAGCTTAGAAGAATTGCTTCCTGTCATGAAGATGACAGTCAGTCAGTCCTACTTCCAAACCACAGTGATGACCGGCGAACTCAGCCAACCCGAACAGAGGTGGGCGGGAACACGGGCTTCACCGATTGTACAAGAACATGCTGGGTCGGCTCATGGTTTCAGAAAAGCCAGAACTACTGCTCCTCCTGACTGATACTCAGGTTGCCTTTCTGCACCTCGAGTTCCTCAGCACTGACCATGGATGGGTCGATGGCTGCATATTTGGTTCCGTGGAATTGCAGCAAATGTATCTGCAAAAAAGCAGAGTTGTTATTTTAAATGGCTGCATTACAGAGCATCATGTATACTGCCTCATATAAAAAGCTGGCAGGAAAATGTCACTACAGTATATAAATGTTTTATACTTCTAAACTTATACAGTAACCCATGCTAATTAGAGAAAAACTGGAAAACACAGAAAAACTGAAGAATTTTTAAGAAATCACAATCTGGGATCTTTGTTCCTCACTCCTCTCCAGCTTCCTACAAACTCTTCATCGTTGTCATTAGTTGCTGTGGGGTCGATTCTGCCTCATGGCGACCCCATGTGTGCAGAGTAGAACTGCATTCCGTAGGGTCTTCAAGGCTGTGACCTTCTGGAGGCAGATCACCAGGCCTTTCTTCTGAGGTACCTATGGGTGGGTTTGAACTGCCAACCGTTTGGTTAGTAGTCCAGCATCTAACCATCTGCACCACCCAGGGACTCCTAAACTTTCCATAAACATCTTAAATGGCTGCATGTACCCTACCCCTCTGCTGTAAGCTAGCTCCTTCCTGCCTTCTTCTGCTATTAAGACCAACATCTCTGGGCATCGAGTTTTTCTATGTTTAGGATCCTTTCCATGAAACACATTATTGGTGTATCAATAGGATCAAAGGGTATGACTGATTTAAGGGCTCCTGATACTTCCTGACAAATGGAAAAGCAATCACTTCTCACTGCCACTTCAAATATCCACTTAGGTAGAGGATGAAGAGGTATTGCTAAAGTTGTTTTTTTTTAATGCATTAAAATTAGATCAAGAAGTAGCTTCACGGGACTCAGACTGACCCTGTCTAGGTTTGGTGTCCTGCTTTGGTGGATGTCACTGTGTCCAGGAGCAAGGCCACTTTTTGCCAAACGGCTACCTCACTGTGTGGCTGTGGGCCTGCCATCCCTAGAAAACGGATAGTAGACAGAGAGTGGCGTGGGTGTCTCTAACACACCTGTCTGAATTTCCTACAAATGATAAAATGTAAACCGCTTTTAGCCAGTCAATGCCTCGTTCCTACAGAGAATTAAAGTTCCCTTATTCCACCATCAAAAAAAAAGCACTTCTATGTTTTGAGCCGTACGTGCTGCTCCAGCTTCCAGGCTGGGACTTACCTGTACATAAAGATTGACCTCTGCGCTTCTGCACAGGTAGGGGAAATTGCCTCCCGTTTTAAGGTGAGCTCTCCGGGCGTTGGGATACAGTTTGTACATTTCTTCTTTAGCTTCAGTTGAAAGTGCACTCTGGTCAAATACCTTTTAAAAAAACACAGGCTGAAACCTACTGGTATTTTAATATATTCTTCTCACATTCTGCAACGTGCCACCCCAATGAGCAGCATTCTTTTTCATGAAGAAACAATGCTGAGTTGTGCAGCCCGAGCCACCTCCCACTGCGGAGCTCTGGGGACTTCTAACTTCGACATAAGATACTAGCTACAGGTTCTGCTGGTAAATATCTCTTAGCATTCTTTGGGGAAAAAAATCCTACAGTGAGCTTCCCTTTTCCTCAAATGTAGCTGACTAAATTAACAGAATATTCATGGTGAATAACAGCTACTAAAAATGCCAATTAATTTCAAAGAGACCATGAAGCTCCAAAGGAAATTTTTAATTTTATTATTAGTTAAAAACAAGTACACACATTTATGCTCTATGAAAAAAAGATTTAAAAAAAAGTGAAAAGAATAAAAGCTAAAAAGTGCAAGTCCTTTCCCAAGGGAGCCACTGTGAGCAGTTTGGAGCATAAGACTCTAGACATTTTCAATGCTCATATAAATTAATGTTTTACATGCACATATACAAGTTTTTCAAAAAGTGATTTGAAATTCTCAACAACAGCAACAAAATAAAAAAAAAAAAGAAAAGAGAGGCAGGGCCAAGATGGCAGAGTAGTCAGACGCTTCCTGTGGTCCCACTTACAACAAAGACCCAAAATAAGAAGTGATTCAATTGTATATGACAATCTAGGAGCCCTGAACATCAAAGGCAAAGTTGAGGAATCAGACTGAGTAGCAGGGGGAGAGAGAGAGACAGTTTGGAAGCAGTGAGGAGCTGCCAGACCTGACCCGGCAGGAACCAGCACCCTGCAGGCCGGATTGGAAGGCGTGGGCAGTGAGGCGGGCAATGGTGTTCAGGACGCGTTTTCTACATCAGGAGAGACCAAGTAGCAGACAGTCTACTCAAGCCTCCAGAACCAGTGAAAAGCAGCGCTTAATCAGCAAAAGAAAAGTACATGCATTTAACCCACCACATGGATCAAAAAACACCCCGTTTGACAAGAACCTCTCTCCCATTTACCTGCCTCCTCCTCACTCTGCACCGGGTCCCAGGCCGGCAGCAGGACCCATCACGCACCGTGAGCCATTCTCCCGGCCTTGGAGAGGGAATAAATTAACAAACAGGAAAAAATAATCTGCCAGCTCCCCTAAGCCGGGAACTTAGCATAAACAGAGCTCCTTTGCCTAGGCACAGACATAAGGGGTCCATGGCCTTTGAATACCTTTCACCCCTGCACAGACCTCTGTGGGCCCATTTCAACAGCACAGGCCCTCATTAGCACAATACAACAGGGTATATACGTGAAGCCTAACTTCAGCAGTTTATCAGCTATATGATGGAGTGGCAGGATCGTGACATTTAATACCACTCTGCCCATTAAGCAGGGTCCTCACCTACCCACATCAGGAGCCTGATGACTGGTGGCTCCACCCACACCACCCAGCCACCTGCGACAGGAGTCCAAAAATAAGTGGTGCCTCCCAGTCCTTACAGCCAACAGCACTGCGTGCCCATAGTCTGGCTGCAAAACCCACCCACCTATGCACTCTAGGCAACAGGGATACGCTTTCCTCCCAGACACACAGGTGCAGCTGTTGGCCCCCTTCCTTCCTTAGCATGTGACACCCTACTGCAGCCAGATACCTGTGCCTACTCCAATCACCTCTGCCCATCTAGGACTGTAGGTGAGAGCCTGCACCACATACTTGGTGACTGACTACCTGGACACCTGAGCTGAATCCATACAAGAAAAGCAAATGGACTCCTGGGCTCACATACCTAGTAACAGATCTAACCATCTGGTGACAGGATGTTAGAGCTTCAAAGGCACCAATAATCAAACTAGCTCACATGAGCAGCCTATTTGGGCATATCAAAACAAAACAAAACAAAAAGCTAGGATACAGTAAGCAAACATAAATAAATATAGTAACATTGATGGTTCAGAGACAACAGTCAATATCAAATCACATAAAGAGGCAGACCATGATGGCTTCAGCAAGCTCCCAAAACAAAGAATCAAGAAATCTTTCAGAGAAAGAGAATTTCTTGTAATTAATGGAGGTAGAATACAAAAGATTAATATACAGAACTCTTCAAGAGATCAGGAAGAGATCAGGCAAAACGCAGAACAAGCCTAGGAACACAAAGACAAAGCAACAGAGGAACTTAAGAAGATTATAAAAGAGCATAATGATAAATGTAACAGGCTGCAAGAATCCACAGAGAGACAACAAACAGAAATCCAGAAGATGAACAATAAAATTTCAGAATTAGACAACTCAATAGAAAGTCTGAGGAGCAGAACTGAGGTGATGGAAGTCAAAATTAGTGAGACTGAAGATAAAGCACTTGATACCAATTTATCTGAAGAAAAATTAGATAAAAGAATTTAAAAAAAAATGAAGAAATCCTAAGAATTATGTGGGACCCTATTAAGAGGAACAACCTATGAGTTACTGGAGTAACAGAATGGGGAGGGGGGGATAACAGAAAATACAGAGAGAATTGTTGAAGATTTGTTGGCAGAAAACTTCCCTGATACTGTGAAAGATGAGACGATATCTATCCAAGATGCTCATCAAATCCTACACAAGGTAGATCCCAAAAGAAAGGCACCAAGACATATTATAATCAAACTTGCCAAAACCAAAGATAAAGAGAGAATTTAGGGATAAACAAAAAGTCACCTACAAAGGAGAGTCAGTAAGAATAAGCTCGGACTACTCAGCAGAAACCATGCAGGCAAGAAGACAATGGCATGACATATATAAAGCCTTGAAGGAAAAAAACTGCCAGCCAAGAATTATATATCCAGCAAAACTGTCTCTGAAATATGATGGTGAAATTAGGGCATTTCCAGATAAACCAAAGTTTAGGGAATTTGCAAAAACCAAACCAAAATTACAAGAAATACTAAAGGGAGTCCTCTGGTTAGAAAATCAGTAACATCAGATAACAACCCAAGACTAGAACACAGGACAGAGCAACCAGATATCAACCCAGATAAAACACTGAAAATAGGGGAACAGAGACGTCAATATGTAAAAGATGACAACATTAAAACAAAAGAGGGACTAAAAATGTAGTCATAGATCTTTCATATGGAGAGGAAGTCAAGGCAATATAAAGAAATGAGAGTGGTTTAAACTTATAAAACTAGGGGTAAATATTAAGGTAACCACAAAGGAAACTAACAATCCTACATATCAAAATAAAAAACAAGAATAATATAAAGACTCGGCAAATACAAAATCAACAACAATGAAAAAGACGAAAAGAAAATAAAGAAAAATGACTCAGCACAGGAAATTAAGTGGAACAAAGAAACAGTCAACAACACACACAAAAAAGACATCAAAATGACAGCACTAAACGCATACCTATCAATAAGTATGCTGAATGTAAACGGACTAAATGCACCAATAAAGAGACAGAGAGTAGCAGACTGGATTAAAAAACAGGATCCGTCTACATGCTGCCTACAAGAGACACACCTTAAAGACACTAAACAAACTAAAACTCAAAGGATGGAAAAAAATGTATCAAGCAAACAACACTCAAAAAAGAGCAGGAGTGGCAATATTAATCTGTGACAAAATAAACTTTAAAATGAAATCCACCACAAAGGATAAGGAAGGACACTATATAATGACTAAAGGGTCAATACACCAGGAGGACATAACCATAATAAATATTTACGTACCCAATGACAGGGCTCCAAAATACATAAAACAAACTCTAACAGCATTGAAAAGAGAGATAGACAGCTCCATAATAATAGTAGGAGACTTTAACGTACCACTTTCGGTGAAGGACAGAACATCCAGAAAAGAAGCTCAATAAAGACATGGAAGAGCTAAATGCTACAATCAACCAACTTGACCTCATAGACATATACAGAACACTCCACCCAACAGCAGCCAAGTATACTCTTTTCCAATGCACATGGAATAATCTCCAGAACAGACCACATATTAGGCCATAAAGCAAGTCTTAACAGAATCCAAAGCACTAAAATATTACGAAGCATCTTTTCTGATCATAAAGCCACAAAAGTACAAATCAATAACAGAAAAAGCAAGGAAAAAAAAAATCAAACATACGGAAACTGAACAATACCTTGCTCAAAAACTACAGGCTTACAGAAGAAATTAAGGATGGAATAAAGAAATTCACAGAATCAAAAGAGAATGAAAATACATCCTACCAGAACCTTTGAGATGCAGCAAAAGCAGAGCTCAGAGATCAATTTATAACAATAAATTCACACATCCAAAAAGAAGAAAAGGCCAAAATCAAAACATTAACTCTGCAACTCGAACAAATAGAAAGAGAGCAGCGAACGAAGCCCTCAGGCACCAGAAGAAAGCAATTAATAAAAATTAGAGCAGAATTAAATACAACAGAAAAACAACTGAAAGAGTTAACAAAACCAAAAGCTGGTTCTTTGAAAAGATCAACAAAATTGATAAACCACTGGCCAAACTGACAAAAGAAAAACAGGAGAGGAAGCAAATAACCAGAATAAGAAATGAGATGGGTGATATCACAACAGAGCCAACTGAAATTAAAAGAATCATAACAGAGTACTAT